ATTTCTATTGCAACGCTTTCAAATTTGCGCTTAAATAGGTATGTGCTTAGATTTATATAAGACACACAATTCTATATAAATTTTAGGAAGAACTGTATAAATATTTCTTTTGAGCCCTAGTCCGTTAGTTTTATATAATTGTTTGGAACTTTATTGGATATTTTTTGGTAAACCATATAACTCTCATTTTTAGAAAACCTACACGAATATTTCTTTAGTTTATGAGCACTAGTACTATACATAGTCTTAAATAAAGGTTACGATTTTTTTTCGATATTTGTGGTAAACCATATAATTTTCACTTTTTGGGAGAACCAGCTGAATATTTATTACATTATTGATACATTTTTTAAATCTTGAGGCAAACAAAGAACTATTTAGAATTAGTACCGGAGATTGTCATGGGTCATGCTTCATTTAAAAACGAGAAAATGAATTAAATCCTAATGTTCTTAAGTAAAGTTAAATCCAGCCGACTAGAAAAAATTTTCATTCCTTAAAAATTCACATCACATCGCAAGGAAAAGCTGAGTAATTGAATAGAAGCGCCTGTATCCGCGATTTTTCATACAAAGAAGATATCTTGCAATTACCTAAAAGCTTCCAAAAGACTAAAGGCACGTATTTTGAAAGACAATAAAGCAGAATTTTGTATACATATTTATTTAATTTTGTTTTGCTCTCAAATAAAGGTGCAAATTCCGCATAGTCCATTAAAACTGGCAGACAGCAAAAGCGGAGACCAATAACCGATCGACTGAAAATGCCACAACCAATCTACGCTTGTGTGGATAAACAAGTACATTATGAGCTTACTAAACCATTTTGTAGACACATTTAAGTTCGCACAGCGAAACGTACGACAGCCGTAAGTAAACTCGGTGTGTGTGCGAGCTGGTGTGCTGAAGGCAATGCAAAAGCTAAGCTCTATCGGATTTTGACGAAAATTAAAAGACGTTAATCCATTAGGCCTTTTATTTATGTTTGTACTTAAGAGTAAGTATATACATTTGTACATAGATATGCATAAAAATATGTAAAGTTGCTGATAAACCCAGTAGGAAAAAGCGTGGTACGAAAAGGGGAAAAAAGGGGTGCAAAGAATTTAATTGATTTTGAAATGTATCTTAAGACAGCTGTCAAACTAACAATGACATCAAAAATGACTGCTTATTTAATAACTTATGCAAATAATTGATAAAGTTTTGAAAACATTCAAAGATATTGGAGCGGTAGTAAATTTAAAAGCCTCTGCAAAATAATTGACTTAATTTGCCATCTCAAACCAAAATACTGTTCATTATTGGATTAAGGACTAAAACGTCTATAGCAAAATGTTGGCCTGTATTTGAAGACTTTGCCAATCTCTGGAATATAGACTAATACCTTCTGCTTTCTTTGAGCGTTTAGCGAGTTTAGCTTTAGCTTACCATTCGTCCCGGTTTGACCCGAACAGTCCGGCTTCCGAGTTAATATAATATAAATTGTGTTGCTCTCTGATATATGTCAGGATTTTCACGGAATTATAATATGGAAAAAATTGATAACTAAAAAACCGTCCCGGATTTTGCCAAGAAAAATATGCTCACCTAAATTTAGCTACAACTTCTACGCTGCGGAAAAAATATATGAATCTGTGTGGCACCCCTGAGCCGTAGTACCATATTTTTACTGGTGCCTTTAGAGCAAAAGCTTGAGAAAAATATAATTTACAAGGCCTAAGAACGCAATCGCTCTAATAATGAAAATTTTTAAGTACCGTGACTAGATGTTGTCGAAAGTGTGACATGGATGCGACAAGGATCCAATGTGAGATCACATAAATCTGCAATAAAAGCCCTCTTGAAAGTAATAGTTAGAGAGGGCAGCTGTCGAGACCTTCTGGAAAATGTCAAAACTGATATCAATGTGCGGATAAATTTTTACGAAATTGAAACTAAGATAAAAAAAAAAGAAATCCAGACAGGACAGAAAATTTTTCCCTATCTATCAAATAGAGTAGCTGATTAACAAATAAATTTCGATAAAAATTTACGAGAAATGCTGAATATTTTCAGGTAGCTTAGGTCCCTTCAACAAAGAAATTACTCTAGTATGAGAATGATTAGTGGATTAGAAAATCAAAATTATAATTTTTATTTGAAAGAACTGAAAAACCAAGGAAGTTAAGGTATTTTAGATTGATTAAATTAACTCGAAGTAATGAAAGATTAACCGAAAAATAGCATTTTTGAAACCAGGGTAAGGCTAAAAACAAATTGGCTCATTAGTTTTTCTTGAAATAGAATATAGTATTTTTTTCGTGAGAAAAATGTATTTCACAAATCGTTTACACACAACAAACCGCAATGAGTCACAGGCAGCGTTAAATTCGCTTGAAAAAAAATCAGCTCAGAAATCAGTCGATTTCTCTGCAGGGAATTGGGAATTAACCGTCTTGCTGAACTCGGGCCAGATAGATAAGCATGAAAACATATAAATTTATATCTGTACACAATTATATATGTATAAGTATGTATGTATATACGCACATCAAAAAATAATTGAGTTCATAAGGCCAAGGGGGCCAATGAAGCTGACGATGCTGAAACAGCAGACGAGCAGTGGCAAATGACACAAGGCAGCGCTACAAAACATGTGTATGCATAAATACATACATATATAGCTAACCGACATTAGGCCAAACAATAATCATAGTTCGTAGGTTTTATGACCACTTTGTAATTGAGAACATTATGTGCGATAAAATTGGTGCCCGTGTGTTTTTCGGTTTAAGCGCGAGATTTTCTTCAATGCTTTTGTGCGTACCTGTTCGCAACTGTGCACACGTCAATATTTATATACATATGAGTATGTAAGTATAAAGCTGATAAGTGTGTATGCAAAACGTTGCGAAGGCCGCGCTCAAAGTTCCCGTGTGGAGTTTTCAACAACAATCGGAAAGCCGAGATGAAGCAAGGTGAGATTCATATATAGGTATATCTAGATGTATATATGTATATGTACATATTATTGTAGTTAGGTATGCATATAATATGAGGAACATTCAATTTACGCACTGGCAGCAGAGGACGCCAATAACCAAAATGTTTAATGACAAAATGTCGCACAGTTTTAAGCCTTTTTTTTATTGCCCATTTAATTGTGCGTGTGGTAAATTAAATAAAATTTACTAGGCGGCACTATCAGGAAGTATCTACAAGAAGCGTAGTATTTTTGTGATTTAATACCGCTTTAGCTTAGTGTATAATCCGGAGGGTTAACCTTGTACAAAAATTATTATACGAGGGTCCATAAAATAGCGTTTATATTAGCAAAAAATATAAAAAAAAATTACGAGGTAGAATTTATTAATAACCGCCAGCAGTATTTATATGATATTCGTAATGCTCAAATATATTTTTGAGACAGCTGTTTGTTTTTTAAGAGTCAAAAGCTTCTTAGATAGTCAAAAGCTTTTTAACGCGCTCAAAGCTTGAAGATGGCAATTTATAGAAAAAGTTGATTTTGAAATAATTTATACTGATTTCAACGAAGCTTTAAGATTTTCGAGAATCTATAGCTTTTTAAATACAAAAAAGTTTGAGTAGCTTTTTAAATACAAAAAAGTTTGAGTATCTCTCGAAACAATTTCTGAACACTTCAATTTAAAAAACATGAATTTTGAAAGCACGAAAACCTGACCTGTCATTGAAAAAGCTTTTCAACGTAATATACACATGTATTCCTCATAAAAGTTAACTAAAGGAATGAAAGTTAACTATAATCGCCGGTGAGCAGCAATTCAGCCAAGATATCGATGTTATCAGGACGTAGAAACTCATTATTTAAGCAATGTGTATGAGAACTTCCTACACAATCACTCATAATTTTCTATCTAAACTCACCTTAACAAATATGGGGTTCTATTATCATTTTGAACATTAATAACATCTCATTCAACAATGATCTTGATTAAAAAACCCATTTGTTGGATATTATATACATAATTGAAGTCTACAGATTTCTTCACAGAATATATTGTTGTTGAAAATTTCTGTAAGATAATGATCACCTACTCGTAGTATCGTACAGAGCAGATTTGTCGTTGTTTCGTGGATTGAATTTGATATCAGAACTATGTTATACGATTTTTTGTTTTGAAAACTGATCCGATTTCTAGTTGGTATTAAAATTATTCCATTCTTGAAAGTTCAGAATGAAAGAAATCACATCGTTTAAAAGAAAAGCGGGTTTCAATACGAAATGTATGGGGCCTTTTCCAATTTTATCATCAAGCTAGTGACATTTTCAAGTTTCTCAGAATATATACTTGAAGGGCTAACAACACTCCTAGTATAGCTTACTTTGCTCAACTCTCGGATGATTTAGTTTTTCTTCATGATTAACTTGGATCTAGCGGTAACTACTGCTCAATTAATTTTTGGCGCGTCTAAAGAATTCTTTATACGACAGATTGTTTGTGAGTTTTTGAAAACATTTTCTCCTGAATACATGAATATGTGTTTATAACTGATTTAACTTAGCGTTAAAATGTATTGTATGTATAGAGGGATTACAATATTAAATTTGTATGCCGATTTATACTGTAAAATATTTTTAAACTTAAATTTCGAGTTTTAAATAAATGATAAATATGACACTCCAATTCATCGATATATTCAACGTATTTCAAAATGCATGTTCATCGACGTTTTGAATTTTTTTTTTTAACGATAACGAAATATAACAAGTTTTGAAATGCTCTCTCTCATTCACAAAATTTCAGCTGTCATGATAAAGAACTAAACTCTTACAAATGCAATGAAGCGGGTGGAAAAGCTGTCAATTTCACTGGTTTTTATTCTTTAACGTGATTTCCTGATATATACACTTAATAAACTTAAATAATACACACAATATGGCATTCATAAATGTTATCTTCACAAAAAAAAAAATTACACAAATATCGAAATTATTCATTAAAATCATATACTTTTTATAATGTATGTGTTATTTACCTTGTAGACTTGCCCATAGGTGCCATTGCCGACGACTTCGATAAGCTCGAAGATACCAGCGGGATCCTGAAATGGAAAACAAAGATATAGATAAGCAAAAACAAAGAAAAAAAGTATTTGTACGAATTAAATAGGTGAAATATATATTTTGAAATAATACGGTGAAAAATTCGAAATCACAAATGAATTGAACGATAAGTATCCTGACGAAGTGCATATGTTAAGCGCTTTGTTTACAAATCACTTCAAACGCATGCAGGTCAATGACAGTAGGAGAAAGCGAAAAAAACAACAAACAAGCAGAACAAGAGCGAAGTACCGAGAAATAATACTAATTCTAGAGAAAAACACTAAATGCGATTGAGTAATGTTTTTTTTTATGTTCACAACAATATAATCACACTATTTTTGGGCTACTCACAGGCACATATACATATACGTTAGTACATATGTATGTGTGCATATTTGCTTGTAGTTGTGTACACACTCATTTCATCAACAGATTTCAACAGGTACATTTCGATTACAACAATCACAAAAAAAAAACAACAACAAAGCCCATCAAAGCATTAGAGGCTAGAGAGATCCAGCATGTAAATATGTATAAATATTTGTATTTTGTTGTTTTACTTGTTTGGTAAACATATACACCTACACGCACACAAGCACGAAGAAAGAAAACAATTAGAACGCCGAACGACGCCTGCAACAGAAGCCAAAGGAAGGATGCAAAACAATGATATGGAATGTAATCCGACCAAAAACGGAAGAAAAATGCCACGATGTATGTATGTATGTACATAGGTACGTGTGCATGTATGTGTATTAGTGTGGAGCGTCGAGAAAAATAGCACGAAGAGGTTAAAAAAATGAGGTGAGAAAAGTAAAATTCACAAATCACAAAAAAAAAAAAAAAAAAATACAAAGCAAAAAAAAATACAATTACAAAAAAAAAAAGAATTACAAAAAAACTACTAAAACAAAACAAAAAATAATATTAACTTCGGCTGCACCAAAGCTGTAATACCCACCACAGGTGCGTTTTTTATTGCATAAAAATACAATATATAAAACAAGAAAAAACGTTAACTTCGGTTGCACCGAAGCTACAATATCCTTCACGAATACAAGAGGTTCCTTAGAAGAACTTAATTCCGATTGTTGTTCAGTTTGTATCACAGCTACATGCTATATTGGACATTCCGATAAATGAGCAGATTCTTGGTGAGAAAAGGTCAGATGCTAAATTTCAGATCGATATTTTAAAAACTGAGAGACTAGATAGTATAATATTTATACAGACAGACAGACGAACATGGCTAAATCGACTCAGCTCATCATGTTGATTATTTATATGTATATATATTTTATAGGGTCTCTGTCGTTTCCTTCTGGGAACTACAAACTTAGTGGCAAACTTAATATACCCTGTTCAGGGTATAAAGATCTTTATTTCGATCTGTCAGTTTGTATGGCAGCTATATGTTATAGTAGTCCGATCCGAAAAATATGATTGGAGATTATAGCGTTGCATTGAGCTATGCCAAATTTCATGAAGATATCTTGTTCATGGTATAAAAACTGAAAGGAAAAGGAAAAAATTGTGTAAAATAAAAAACCGTTATAAGTGCCAATGCATGTTACTGGCTGTGAAAACGTGTGGGTGGAGTGAAGTGCAGAAAGTGGGGTTGCCACCTACACAACCTATGCCAACGCAAAGGAATCCAGCAGTTTGAGCTTTTGGATGTGTGTGTGTGGTGTTCTGCATCCAACAACGTTTCACTTTTTTACCATTCTTTTCTGGCACATACATATGCATGGCACATGCATGGCACATACATATGCGGTTTTTTTTTTGGTAAGTACTCTTTTGTCGTTTGCGGTTGAAGCAAACAAAATATGTGTCATACGCACACAAACACGCGCAACTACAAATATACATATTCCCCACACATACGCATACATACATACATTCATACATTTGTATGTACGTCTCTATAAACAAACTGCTAATAGTTCTATGCTCTTTATGCAGCACGCTGAAGCAACAACAAACAATGAACGCTTCAACACTCCCTCGCTGTACCGGTGTATTATTAGCGCGTTTGTATGTATGGAGGTTAGTGAGCCTGTCAGAATTGGTTGGTGGGTGAAAACCCTGTAGGAAAAAGCACCCCTTCCAGGTTAAATGGCGGCTGACCTAAAATTTTAAGGGCGGTATGGGCATTTGGAGAGTGCGATTGCCAGTAGGGAAAAATATGTCAGGAGTATCGATCTTCGCACCTAGTTTATTCATTTTTTGTAATAAATGCTTAGTAAATTATTTAAGTTTATTTCATTTATTTGTAGAATGCAATTTTTTTTATTTGGTATATGACGAGTAGTATTAGATCTATGTAATCATCAGTGTGTTGTGTACAGCGTAATTGTCAGAATTGTAAAAAAAATGATTTTGTCACAGAATCTGATTGGATTTTCCTCTTTTCGAACATACGCAAAACCAATATTCGAATCAGCTGTTTACTTGCAAATTAATAAATTTGTAAGCAATTCTATTCAAGTTTTTAATGAGTTCAGAATCACAGTAATCAATTTGATGCTCCAGGGGATTTATATCACATTATCGACTGAATAATTACGTTTTGTAAATTCTCTTAAAATATCTGCATTTTTTTCCATAAACTCAATAAATACATACGTTTTATTCTTATGCTTTCCCCTATAGAAATCAAGATAAATTAATTTGTAGCAGTAAAATAAATTAATTTCATCACATTTCCAATTTTGCTTTGTTTCTGATAACAAAACCGATAAAAATAGGTTTCTGTGACACCCAAAACCGATACAATTTCCGTTTCGAACCTCAATTCAATAATATCTGAATTCACGACACCTACTACAGTTTTTTTGTCAGTTTCACTTCTAATTCCGACAACTATCAGATTCTACAACACCCTTTAATATTTGATACCAGGTGTTTTGGCTTAAAGTACACTTCAGGGTCCTAAAAAAATTTGTTCAATTGGTAAAATAGTGAAAATACTTTTATTTTCTGTCTAATGCGGTAAAGAGTTGAAGGGTTTGGGTCAGTCAACTTCAGTATTTAAAACTTTACATACACGTTTTTTTCGCGAAACAAAATTTTTCAAATCGGGCTGTAACGGTACGCGGACACTATTGGACGCTTTCACCTGAAATTTTAAACGTAGCATTACAAAAACATTATCTAGAAAAAAAAATTAAGATATTTTTTGGTTGTTGTTGGTATTTTTATTGCTAATTTTTCGGTAAAAATTTAACCTTTTTTACGTGGTCGTTTCTTTGAGAAAATGATGTAAAGCTAAAAGCGTGCGTAATTTGCCAGTAAGTTAAAAATAGATTAAGATTCCGTTTTTTATTTTGTTTCTGACACAACCACTTTCCATACCAAAATGTCAATATAATTATTTTGTTCACTCAAATACAAATGTAACAAATAATGAAAGAAGAAAATTAATTTTTTTCCTTACTACCAGAATAAATTGTCAAAGTTAGCCCTTTTTAGGGCTTTAGACTCACCTAAACCCTATTCACTTAAATTCCCATGTAAACAAGAAAAATTGTAGGTATTAAAGTGACACCAATCCCAAATTTATGTGCAGCTTTATCAGTAAGTTAAATTATTCAAGTAGATCAAAGAAGGCACTGACTACAGGACGGTATATTTTCATGCTACTGACAAAAGAACAGTTAAGTGTTTTCTTTTTTTAATCAAAAACTTCCCGTTTAATTACTAAAATGGATATATTGCTTTCTAGACTACAAATATACATATGTAAGTAAGAGTTAAAGTATATTAAAGATATAAAGTTGAATTAGGTCAGAATTACTTCAAAATTGTTACCGATGTTGTTTTTGTAACGGCAGAATTCTGTCGAGTTGACAGTACTTGGTAACGATTCGGGTCCGTTTCGGTTACATGTACCCGACTGTCGTTGTACAGTGTGTTACTATAATGCCATATTTAAGTTTAACGCCAAACGCTAAGATTTTGTGAAATTTTACCATTGGATGCTAGTTATGTGTGCTAATTTCCTACAGGGTATGTTTACACAACGAAGCACACTCTCGCCAATACAAACATAGATGCAATTAGAAATATTTATGGTGATTACTTCATCATTTGCACTAAACTCTCAGGTGTTAGATACTTCGGCAGCGACATTCAACGTACATATGTGTAGCTCAGCATAAAGTATAGACGGAGTAAAACTAATCGGCGACAGCCTTTTCTTGGGTACGAAGAACTCTACCAAATTCTTCAAAAGAGCGCCATGCAACCCATAAATTGTTTAAAATAAATAAAAAATAAAATCAAAAATGATAAAAAAAAACAACAAAAAAAATAAAAATAAATAAATAACAGTACAAATAAAAACAAACAGCGATAAGGTTAGGTTCTTCAAGCAAAAGAAAAAACAAGAAAATAAAATAGTATTCAACATTCATGAAACGCCATATGAATTTCCAAATTGTTTTTGTATTTGTCTGTGTATGCATATAAACATATGTAGATATATTTCCCTTTTTACCGATAATAAAACAGCTGGAACCAGATCGACAATGGGAATGTTGAAAGCAACCAAAACTACAGTGAGAATAGCAGATATAAGACAGACAAACAGTCATATGAACATATATGTATGTATGTACATATGTATATTTGCATGTACCTAATAGTTGAGAAGAAGCAAACGAAACGTGCAAAGGCGTGGAAGCCGTAGATAGTGTAGCTTGTAAAAGTAGAAGGAGGAGTTTTACTCGTATGTTGCACTGGTGAAGCCCCAGCAATAAGTGCCGTATCTTTCCGGTGCATGCATTTCCATATATGTATGTATGTATGTATGTATGAGTACCTATTTACATACTAAGCAAATAACTATATATTTACATAGATACATGAATAAGTGTCATATGCCAGCGGAAAGTAGCATTTGAGTGATTAAAATACGCATTAAACTATTCTTTGATTGGAATGTCTTTGAGAAAATTAAAAAAAAAACATACTACTTTGAAATATAGGTTATGTTAGGTTAATCTGACTGGTTATAGGCCACATCTTTGCCGTTTGGTTACTAAGTGTTGTAGAAAAAGCTGGAAAATTAAGTTTAAGGCTTTCAGGGGTCATAAGTGGATATTTAGATAAATGATCCTTTTATTTTATAACAAGAAAATCGATAACTTAGGCTGCATTGACGGTATAATACTATTCACAGGTGCATATTATGGCATAAAATACAGAAAAAGATTTTTTCTTGATTTGTTGATTAATATGTAGGTCAGTTTATATGGCAGCTATATGCTATAGTGGTCCGATAGCGACGATTCCGCCAAAATGTTCGAGGAGAAAAGGGCGTGTGCAAAATTTCAGATCGATATCTCAAAAACTGAACAGACATAGTTTAATCGACTGAGCTCGTCACGCTCGACGACTAAACGTAATGATTGTAGTCTTAGTGTAAATATCCGCCTACTCGTTTAATATTTTCAGTAGTAGTAATACTGATAAACCATTCCTTAAACCTACAACATGATTCTCATAAATTGAACAAAAAAATTCTCCAACAAAGGCTGAGAATACGAAAGGAGCACCCAAAATTCTAAAGTGAACTTCATATTTAACTCATTTTTAATATTGAGAGTTAATATTAACTCAAAAGAAAAACGTAAATTGGCAAAGCAAACAATAAAAAAAAATATTGCAAAAAGGTTCAAAATTATGTCGATAAAAATAATCAGAGCATCGCCGATTTCCATTTAAATGTTACACACATAAACAACATACGCAAATATACAAAAACAAGCGTTTATCCAAATTTATTATAGCGATAAAATACATCTAATATGCCATAAACCAAATTCGTGCAGTGAAAGGACTCAACAACTATTCTCACTAAAACGATCTTAAATCTCGTAGTCAACGAAGCCAACACAGCTGCCAGTACTGTTATGTTGGACGCTACCGCAGCGAGTGTATCAACCCGTCGACTATAACCAATAAATTTGTTTACACATGCCAAACCAGACCAGCCTGGCAGGTCAGAGTTGGTTAGCAAGTTGGCCCTGCAACAGCAGGGGAACTACATACAGCTTGTTGGATACACTAACTTATAAATGTCAATAAATGCATACAAATATACATATATGCGCATATGAAAATATATGTATTGTATCTAATTACATATGTAAGTATGTGTGAAACTCGCCACCACCAGCCTGTTTTATTGTTGCTTTCGTTGTCTAGTATTTTTACGACTTCCACTTTTCACAACTCATGTGGGCGAACGTGTTTATGTTATAATTTAGAAAAAAAATATATGCCAAAATGTTGAAAACGCTGTGGACAGATAAAAACTGTAGTAACACATTGCTGGTAACACGTTTGAAAACAACTGGTCATGTGTAATTCACACTTAGATGTTAAGTAATAACAACAAAAAAATTAATGCACTTTTTTAAATTGTGCTTTACGAAGTGCATTTGTTATCAATGGCCTTAAAGAAAGTATAAAAATAGTTATCTAATTTTCACAGCTGACAGGTGACAGCTGAATTGAGGGCTTGCCATTGTGACACAATTAGAATTAATTATATTACAAATTAATTACTACTTATTTAAATATACACCAGGAACTGTATCACTTATTATTTATATTTACATATGTATGTACATACATACATACATATATTAACTTCACTCAAACAAATTTAAATGGTTTTCTTACACCACTACTTTAGGTTATGTATGTACATACGCTATCATAATTACTTATTACACTTTAAACTAACGTTAGCTGATGCGAGTGTGCGTTATAATTTGTGCGTACTCACCCCGCAATTTTTGCACACTTATTTGTGGAATTTTCGTGTAATCCTTTGACTTTCTTTGTACACCACGTCGTTGACATTTGTTTGATGACCTTTGGAGCGCAATACCCTCTGCGTGCGCGATTTTCAGCACAAGGAACGCACACAACCAAATTAGTAGATACTTAAAGTAAATGCCATTGTAAGTGCGTGCGTGCGTACATATTAAAAATAACTTTGATAAGACCAACAATGGCGAGACAGTATGTTATAGAGGTTGTTGGCACAGAAAGTCATTGCTCTGTTGCTTCACACACTACGCAAAGAAAACATAATATGACAATTGCCCGTTTATGTTAACTTAAATATTAGCAAAAGCGTTAGGTTTTACTTATTGCATTTATGGTTTCCCTATAATGAAAAAACATTCCTAAATTTCAAAGCACACTTTATTTAATTTGAATTTCAAACAATGCCTCCAGCAACCACACATCGTGCCACATGGACAGCGCAGACGCAGCAAAACATGAAGTTAATAATAGCATAAAGGCCAAAAAGCTGCCGGCTGGTCTATAAGCATGTGATTGTCACAATCTTCGCCACCGCCACAAGCTTCGCCTTCTTTTAAACACTGTCACGCACGGCCGCACGCAGTACTAAGTGTTCGCCAAACGAAATAAGCAGGCAGTCATGTTCAAGCTTGCCGGGTCATGTGTGTTCTTTTTTAGTTGAATATTTTCGAGACCAAGCTGAAATGGGTGTGGGTACTTGCATAAAGCAGGAGCGGCAGAATGTTGCTTTTTGAATAAAACTTTTGTATTACGTTGGTTACGGATTTAATATTTCGTTAGTTAAATATAAACAAATACACAAATGTACAATATCAACAATTTTGGCATTTTATTACTAAGTACTTGCGAAAATAAAATTGATTGTAAACAATGAAATTCTCCGCTACAAATTAACTGTCAGTGATCATTAACCCTTTACGTCAAATGTCAACTTTTACCACTAATTAAATAATTGCATTTTTTTTATAAAATTATGAAGGCTATAACAACATACACTGAAAATAATTACGAAAAATAATTGCATGTAATAGCGTCCAAGCAAAATCAGCAACCAATGGTGATATTTAAGACTGGGATGCGGGAAATAACAACATCTTTCAACCCTAATTGCCAATTGCAGTCGTTTCAATAAAATGTACTACCAGTAACCAGAGCAGTGACAGTCTGTGGGTGGAACAGGGGACATGCTCGACAGTTGCTGCAGCCAGACTGGCATCTTTATATACATACATAGTATATCATACATATACATTCGCGTGCGCGTAATTGAAAGTGAATTTGTCAATTTGATGAATTCGGCTCCAATTGAAAGGCGAACGAATGAAGTAACGAAACGAAGAACTAAAGGGTGCATATTGCCAGAATGCAAGCGCAAAGAAGGAAATAACATATAGAAAGTAATTGGCCACTCGGTTCGCAAAGTGCATTGGTAATTATGTGCACATGTATTTATGTATGTGTGTGTACGGATTATGCGAAAAGCTGTATAGAACAGGAAATTATAATTACGAATGAAGAAAAGACACAACAAAAAAAATAATAAAAACAGAAACAGAGCGCTAAAGGAAGTTGTAGGAGAAGTTAGCAAACCAAAATTTTGAATCCACTGAGACTGTCGGACGGACGATAAAAGCATAGTGCCGTATCAGCAGAAGCCAACCAGGCACAGCCGGCCACACCTACATATACCAGCAAAGCAATCAGACGAAAAATCATTGTGCTGTTAAGTCAAAGTGGCACAAATGCAGCCAGCGAGCTAAAGTTGCTGCTGCAATTGCGGTACATGAATGTTTAATATAATATGGCAGTATGTTATTGAGTTACATTTGTATTAGCAACATATAATATATATAAGAATATTCATTTTTAATGAATAAATGTAAATAGAAATTCATTAAAGTAAGTTATAAGTAAGAGCAATATACCAGTAAATACTGGTTACTAACCTTCAATGCATTCAAATCGATATCATCCAATGAGCAGTTCACAGATGGGGCAAGTTGCTGTTGGTGCGCCATTTTGATTTGCTATTTCTGTTATTTCCCTTCCTTTTTGCGTTTGTTCACTTATCTGCCTTTTAAAGCAGTAATTCTTTTTTTTTATTTTTATTCTCTATTTGTCTTTTATATTACTATTATTATTCACTTTTTGTATTTCATTTAATTCTATTCTATTGTAATTCACTTAGGTCTGACACTTTATATTTTTCGCTCCACTTCGTTTTATGTTCTTCTCTTCTCCTGTTTTATTCATTTATCATATTCATCGCTAGTTTAATCACTTTATTACATCTATTTCTATTTTATTACTTTTGCTGTTTGGAATTTTTTTCGCCAAGTTTCTAAAAGCAAGAATGGAATTATCTCACTTTATAGAAAACACTAACACACCGAGAAATTATAATAATCGATTATGAATTTAGATTGTTTTAGAAATATGCATTTATAAAATTTGTTTCGAATTTCCACCTTATTTGGGGTGGGGAGCAGCAGCAGCAACAGCGGCTTCTCTCTTTTTCGTTTACAAGTACTCCTTTTGTTGCTTTCACTATTTCTTCTAATCTTCTCACGAAATTTTCATTTTTCACCGATCTTTTTTCTTTGTTTTATGCTTGAGTAAAAATTTCTTTTAAAAATTAGCAATTTTCCACGTCTCAGCCATTTGGGAGGCGGCACTGGTGCTGATGGCGACGATGACGGCAGCACCCAACAAACACACAAATCAAATGGAGTTTGGAGCGGATATGTTGTTGGTGCTCGCACTACCGCTCACGTATTTATTGGTACTGTTGTTGTTGTCGCCGTTATTGGTAGCGGCTGCGGCAGGTAGACAACTGAAAACTGCCACAAGAAAATTGTGTGAAATTTTCTACTTCATTCGTCGCGACGAATATTAGCACAACAATTTTTTATATTTAACTCCACTGCAGCTTACAACCACACTCAGTAAATTAAAAGTTTTGCACCGCGTGCACTTTTCCTCATAAGTTCCGGTTTGTAATTTTTTCTTCCACTAAAGAAAAAACTAATCTAAAAAAGACTTTTTCCTCCACGCCCGATTCACTTATTACACCTTTCACATCAACGAATGAAGAATGAATGAAAATTTCGTTGGTCGAATTCGGCACTGAAATGGCGAATTTGACAATCACGGCGAAGAAGCTGCGATAATAAAGAAATGGTAGAAGACAAACAGTGTTGAAGCTTTTTTTATATCTATTATGATTTTTAGAGTTGTAGTAAATTAGAAATTATTAAAACAGATAATGCTTAATGTCATAAAAAATTATAAAATCAAAGTTTTAAATAAATGTATTAATAAACTCCAAATGATTTACGTGAGAATATTGTATAGGCCGCTATTTTAATTGGCAATGGTCTGAGCACTGATAAAGATTGCAGTGACATCTAGATGTGATTTTTTAAAGTTTCTTTTCAAGCATTAATTAAGTGATAATTTCATATAGATAGTTTTAGTAACTTAGTCTGCTGTTGAGATTTGCTTTTTTTATAGTTATTTTGTTATAAATAAAGTATATGTAAAACCGCATTTTTTCTCACAGATTCAAAGTTGGAGGCTTTGTTTTTCATTCATTATTATGCTGCAATAAACAATTTTGCGAATAAATAAAATAACAACATTATAAAATATGTAAAAATATGCTTCGAATGTCATGCAACTCTGATGAGCTGTGCTATTGTGAATTGTATTTGAAAGAAGAAGACGTATCCGGTCGTAGGAAATACGTTTCAAAAATATAGGCAGTTTAATAGATTGTATATAAAATTCAAGATTCATTTTTAAAAATTAAGAAAAAATATTGCCATTATTTTTTTTTTTTTTACCTAATATATCATTATGCACTACAAGTCCGTTAACATGTTGGTGACATCATTTATTATTACTCGTTAATGAAGTTGAATGAGCTTTGCATATTACATGCGGATATGCGTACATTATGAGCCTACCTTAATAAATTTCAGAGAATTTGTGTACCCCGGATATTTTAAATTGAAAGATCTCGTCTGGTATTGTACTCGAAATAATATTTCAATAGTGTAATATATATATATATATATACATATGTATATTAAGAAATAAATACTATAATTTAAAATTAGCTACTGTGCCTACAGGCGACTCATTTCTGTTTTCCCCAAAATGCCCTCTTCGCATAGCGTTGCTAACACCTCAAACATCTATGTATATTATTCAAACTGTCGTTATTTTCAAATTCACTTTTTTGTTTATTCATTATTTTGTTTTGCCCCCATTTGCTCCAAATCATACGTGTAGCGATGTGCGGCGCGGTGTAGCGCGGAGATCGACAACAAAGAAAAACAATAGCATTAAAGCCGAACGCCAGCAAAAATTATTGCTCTCCAGCTAAATCTCGTCGCAGTTTCAATTCAGTTTTGAGTTGTTTTCCGTTGGGAACGAACGTGAATCTTGTAGATCGCGGACAGCGCGTTTATCAATTCGACATTTGCACACTTGGAAGATCATAGTGGTTAGAGATAAACAAATTTGTAAGCTTTACACTAACAAATCAAAATCTAAAGGGCATTTTAGCCTAATGATAACGCTCGGTAAATGCAAGTGAGGTGAAAATTTTGAACAAAAAATAGTTTTAAAAAAATTGGCTAATTGGAAAATTCACGTGAGTGAGTGCAAGTGGACCTACAAAACAATTTGAATTGCTCGCCAATTGAGCGTTTTACTAAAACTAGTTTTTATACACATACAAACGCAAATGCAGCAGTACCTGTGCAGCTTCATGTGTAGGAATTTCTTGTGAACGCTGTCACTCAGTTGCCGGTGTGCGCAGTCGCTGCTCTGCTCTCTGCGCTCTGCTTTACCGCTGCTGTTGCTGTCATCATAGCGTAGTAAACACAAAGCAACGTGTAAAAGAATGTCTCTACAGCGCAGCGGTGCAAAGCAAATAACGCTGAAGTCAACAAAAAACGTAAGGTAACTGCGCAGCTTAACAGCTACAACAACACCGGGCAATATTGGGTTTTAAGCAACAGCGCAGCGCACAAGCGGAAAAATAAATACAAAACGGAAACAAAACCAGTGACAGCAGAGTCAGAGACCGGCTGCAGCGTAGAGTCGCAAAGCCATAGACAACATTCTCTTCTTTGCCGTCGTGAAGTCAACAACGTAATTGTCATGCGAGCGCAGCGTTGAAATTTTACTAATATTTTGCCAATTGTTCTTACGCGTTTAATGTTGAATTTGTTGTAATGTTATGTTAAAATAATCGTTGTAAAACTGAACTTTCGTGCAACTATAGAAGTGTGTTTTGTAAATTACATTTAATATTGAAGGTACAAAAACAAAACAGAAAAACCGAAATAGCGACAAAAGTGCGAAACAAGTGAACGAGTGAAAATCGCCTTATTTACCGCCATCTTGCATTTCCGCCGCGTTGTGCCTTTTATGTACTTGCCTTGCTGTTTTTGCTGCTGAATAAATTCAATTATGAAAAAGTGGATCGCCAAAAGTCAGCAACAATGAAACAATATGAAAACGAATGCATGCAGTTATAGAAACAACAGACTAAGTGAAATACGAGTAAAGTTGTGTTAAAGCAACATATAAATAATTTCATTGCGCCGTATGCGAGAGAAATTTCTACTCGTTTTTTAAATTGCTTAAAGGCATAGATCTACGCGCAGCAATATTTATGCCTTTAACAACAATTTTAGCTTGTTTTCATAAGTTGACGCGGAAACAAACGCTTACTAAGCCTAACCTATTAAAAAGTATGGCAGTTGAGCCAGTGTATAAAAGTTTTGATTAAAGTAAAGTAATAAAGATATTTTATTATATTTCTTTTTTTTTATAAATTACTAATTTAGTGATTTAATAAATCGTAACAATAAAAAATGTTAGACTCGGTTGCACCGAATCTATAATACTTGTACCCTTCAAAAATACAAATGATTCCAATTCAAACTTGATTTTCATCGATCAGTTTATATGGCAGCTATAGGCTATAATGGCCCCATTTTAATAGTCTTTTCAGGGTATAACAACATATTTTTGTTGTTTCATAAATTTTAACAAATCGTATAAGGTATACTCACCCATTTCGCGAGTTTTACTTGCACTCCGCTTTCGGCAGAACAACTTCTTACTACTTAATTCCCTAAGCTGTCTGCCGCGACTAGTTGACTGGCTTGCTGGCTAATTCGCTATGTGGCATTGTTCAGCGGCAAAAATAGCAAACTAGCAAAAGACGACGTCGCGTTTAAGCTATCGATCGCGTGTTTATGGAACTTGCTTCATGTTGTGCTACTTTCGTCTGAGAAAATAAGAAAATATTGCAATTTGCAAGTTTAACTTTCGATTTAAAGCAAATTGAATTGCGGTGAAATTAACTGAAACTTCTATGCAAAGTATTGATGTATTGCATTGAAAGCAAAGCGGTGCAATAAAAGAAAAGCAAAGCTAAAAACTTCAACAACTACAAATGTGAAATTAAGCACTATTTTCTGAATTGATTACTATTGTTGTGTAGAATTACAGGTGAAGTTTGAAGCGTGAAAGTGAGCTCCGTCTACATTTAGTCGAAGCAATAAATGCATAGTGAGTCAAATAGATAAAACTGCTCGTGCTAAAGTTGTATTGAAGCTGTTTAAATCACAGTAAGCTGCTTAACGACGACCACGACAACAATACAATAACAACAACAATAGTAAATACAACAACAACAACTACTACTAAAGTAGTTGAACAACAAAATCGTAAAGCTTCATACCAAAAGCAATAAAAAAACAAACCAGTGCCAAAGAGGAGTGAAAACATATAACAAGAGGAATATAGGAAACTAGAAGAATTGAGGAAGATCAGAAAAATTTTAGGGAAGACCAAAGCAAGAAAAGTAGAAAGGTGATAAAAACCGCAGTGCACGAAATAAAATTGAAAAGAAAAAAATCTCGTTTTTCGGGTCGGTTTCAAATTCTTTTCACTGATTTAACAACCCGTTCGCTTGTGTAACCGCGCGCTCTCTCTTGCTCTCTGCAAACGGACAACTTCTTGATCAATTGCTATTGCGTTTACAGCACAGCATTAGTTTTAGCTTCTTATTTGCCGGTTATAATAACATTTCTACTCACATATACTTATATAGAATTTTTACTTTTGGAATACGTCGGCTAAAAGGGAGACAACGAAATATACAAAAAAAAATTAAAAAATAGTAGAAACAACCAAATCAAATTCCAAATCATCAGCAACAACAACACTAACGAAAACAACAACAATCAGCATCAATTCATTTTATGTTTTTTTTTTTTGAGCGCTCATTGCCTTTGGTTAGCTTCTCAACTTGACCTTTTTGGTTATTTTTGTTAAGAGACAAACACAGCTAAACAACAACAGCAAGAACAACAGTCCAACCGATAGCCACCGGCAGCTGCAGCACAAGCATAGCCAGTTAGAAAGTTACCAGTAGCCGCAATAGTGACTATTCTCCAATAATTTTATTGCCCCCGCACGGATTTAAACAAAACATTCACGCTGGATTTGGGATACTACGAGGCTGTCAAAGGTAAACAATAACATTCATCAGCATATTGTATAAACTTGACAAACCCGTATATATACTTATGTACTATGTAAATATGTTAATAGTGTTTTATAAACAATAGTATTACTCTTAATGTGGGCAGTTGTATTTAATAAGAAAAGACACATGATTTCGTAGCTTGATTTCTAGGAAAATCTGTTTAGAAAAGTCGATTTCGCTAAGTTGTGTAGATATTTTGTTCTTATATGTATGTAATGTGTATTGATTTATGTGATGCTCCAACTATATATTTATATATAATATATTGTTTTTATATACATTATTCTGTAGATTTTATTAACTGTAAATATTATCAAAGCGACAAGTTGGATGATAGGGAAAGTGCTAATATGTGATTATGAACAGAACTTCTTACAGCATCACCTGAAGTACAAAGAAAAAAATACGTGTATTAATTCAGATTATAAACTACGTATTGGACAAGGCGAAAATGTGAAAATTGTATTTTTGGCAGACGTTTTTACAAAAAATGCAAATTTTTGGTGAACATTTCTATATATTTTTTTTAAATTAATTATAATTGAAAAGTGTGTTAAAAGCTATCGGATCGGAGTTTGACATAGTAGATACTTTATAACAGTCTAACAGTTTTGGTTGAGGACACAATGACTTGCGTCTCATAAAAACATCAATTGAAACCAAATGCTTCTACATTCAAAGCTAAAAGAGTGTTAATCCATTCGAACGTCGTTTCCAATCAGTGTTGCGCCTGTATTTTCACCGTTCTATGATTTTATGGCTCATTTTCGATTCATTCGGTCAAAGCTACATCAATCTTACATATTTCTCTTGTAAAGTTCTGACTTGTTAAAAGTTGTTATTGGTCTTCGCTCTACCATTGCTTACGGCTTGAGGATTGATGAGAGACTTACATATATAGTTTTATCTTCGAAGTTATTACTGTCATCGGTCATATATGGCTAAGATTTATGTGCGCTAAATGTATATTTGATGCCCGCAGATATTTTGCCGCATTTTCGAATTTGTAGCTCCAATAACAATACCTTAAGAGGTTATGTCCTCTTGCAAATCAGAAAAATGTGATTGTTTTGTAAAGCAATTTTATTTAACAAATATATAAAAATAATGTAAATTTGCAAAATTTAATGTACATTAGTGATAAATACGTGATTCATTTTGAAAAATTTTGAATTGCCTTAATTCCGTAACCGATCTCAAGGAGGACCTTCGAAAAAGTTGTCTAGTGGTGAGAAATATTTTTCTGCTTAAAATTATATTGAATTCAAAAATCAAATAAAATGTGTATTACAATCGATTAATACAGGAAATGAATGATCAAAGGTCTAGTCAAAATTTTGATTTTTGACAAAATGGCGACTTCCCAAAAACTTTGTGTTTTGTGTAAAAATTTACACTTCAAAGTGGCTAAAAAATCGAAATTATTGCCAAATATCTTAAGGAGGTCGTCTGAAAATTTAAAGTTGAGCGGTTCACCCATTTCGGAGAAATTTTTTTCACCCACTATGAAAACAGCGTTTCGAGAAAAACACGTTAAAGTTTTGGGAGTCGGTTACACTAAGCTCTTACAAATACGCTTATATCTCCGAAACTATTTGCCTGGTCAACTCGAAATTTTTGGAGAATATTTTTAAATAAGTATATGTATATTTAAAGTGTAAGCAAAAAAGATTTCGATTTTTTGAAATTCACAAGTAGATATAACTTCTTAAAGCCTAGAGCAATAAACTACATCTACTCTTCTTCTTCTCAACCTTGTGAAACACTGAATACTTCTTCATTCGACAATCTAAACCATGCTTCAACATCCTCAACACGTGATCAAATCAGAAAACAGCTGAAATATATATATATTTACATTTATATTATACTTATACACTCGCACTTGCTGCTGAGCGCCTTTCTGTGCTTCAGATTCGATTTCAGCACAAATTGCTTTATTATATAAAATAAGAAAATACAAAAAAAAAAAATAATAAAAACTAAATATTATTCTATTAACGCTTTCGCAACTGTTGCATAATCACCTTAAGAACTACACCTGCGTCAACCATTCGTGTCTACGCCGATCGTGCTTTATGGGCACATTTCGAATTAGGTACGGGTGTGTATGTGTGTGTGCGGCAATCATTGTGTGATTTATTTATTTATTTTATTCACTTTTTGACAATTTGCCGCGCCAGATTGCGATCATAATTGCGTGTACCAAAGTAATAAAATAGTGAGAGGGTCGCACAAAGCAAACCAACAACAATAACAGCGGTAATATCAACACGTACAACGACATTACCAATACTAGCACGCGTGCAACAGCCGAAACGAAGTCAGAGTTGAAATCAAAAGAATTGTGAATCAAGCTTGGGCTTTGCTCGCTGCTGCAAACACGCATACACGCATACACGGACAAAATGTGGACAATTGTGATTCTGTTGGTTTACTTGTTAGTATTTGTTGGTGTGTCTGTACAGGTTGCTTTTGTTGCCTTTAGCTGGTCATTTTATTTATTTATTCTTCTATTTTTTGTTGTTTTTGTAATTTTTTGTTTTTGTATTTTTTGTATTTTTTTGTTTTGGTTTTTTCGGTCTTACACTTGTGTTTTTTTGTTTTTGTAATCTTTTGTTTTTGCATTTTTTGTTGTTTTTGTATATATTTTTAGTTTTTGTGTGTTTTTATTTTGTTTTTGCTTGGCGTGTTTGGAATGCGGTGCAAGTGACATTCAGCCCGCCACACAAGCCGCGCTCTGCTCGGCCGTCGTTCGGCTGTTCGGTTGTTGAAGAATTAACAGTAACAAAAGTATCGTGGAAACCTCATAATTGCACGTCGCGAAGCAGCGGGGCACACAAGCGCACGCAGGCAACCCGTTCAGTCATTTTTTAAATGTTTTCTTCTTTTTCTGCATTTTTAGCGCGCTGCACTTGTGGTGGGGTATGATTTTCATTCAACGCCAGTCCAGCCAGCTCAGTCAGACACAGGTGTTGCGCTACATGTGACCGCTTTGACTAAGCGCCTAACTGATGCTATGCCAAACAGCTTCATATTCCCCCATATATATGTGTGTGTGCGTGTGTGTATGTTCTGGCATGCTGCGCTTTTACTTGTGTTGCTTCTGCGCATGCGCGTGTGTGTGCGTTACTGACATGTTTATTTTTTAAGCGAACTCGTTGTGGCCAGTTCTTTGCCAGCAGCAATGCAACACGATTTGTGGTAAATGCGCTTTTGTATACATATTTACATACTAGGGTGGTTCAATATGTACTTAGCCTACAAAGGAAAAACGTAAGATTTTGAATAATTGCGATTTTCTCTCAATATCATATATACGGCACACTTGTCCCAGCTATTTTCCAATTCCTTTAATCCGTCTGTAAAAAAAATTTTCAGCAGGTCTGTAAGGTAGGTCTCCGTGGCGGCGACAAACTTCTTAGTCGTCGCAAATTTCTGTCCGGCGAGTAACCTTTTCAAGTTTGGAAACAAAAAAAGTCGTGTGAGTCCAAATCGGGAGATTATGGTGGATGAGGCAGCAGCCCACAGCCTAATTCGATTAATATGGTTGTTGTTTTGATGAAAAAGCACTGTTGTATTTGCGAAATAAGGCCAGTTTTTTTTTGTGATTCAACGTTGAATCGGTCAAAAAATAATTTGATTTGGTACAGCACGATTTCTCCTTCTCAAAGTAATCGATGTCGATGATCGCAGCTTGTGAACCCCATACAATGGTGGTTATCAGTTTTCCGGCCGATAAAAAAGTCTTCGCCTTCTTCAGAACAGTTCATCCGTGTAAAGTCTACTGTTTCGACGTTTTCTTAGCCTTTGGTGTGTGCAAGTGGGTGCACGTTTCGTCGATAGTCATGAAGCAAACGGTGCCGAGGAAGCTTTCTTATAACCAATTGGTCTTTCGAGATGCACACTGTCTCAGTTGTCTTGCGCTCCTTCAATCAGCACTCTGTCTATAAGAGATCGTGGATTTCTGTCATGTTTTTTCTGTGGTAAACGTTTTCGGAACGTGACTTCTCTAAAAACCGACATGTGACCATGTTGAAACTCGTTAAACCAGTTTTTGACAGTCGTCTTCGGAGAAGAAGAGTCACTGTACGCCTTCACAAGCATTAGAAATTTTGACAACAGTCACCTATGAAAATTGGAGGTGTGCCTAAGTAATTATCAGACCGCCCTCGTATATACAGGCATAGACCTTCTTTTGACACACATACACACATACACCTGCATTTCAATACATTTACTGGTAGTATGTAAGTATGCATGTATGTGTGTGTGTGTTGGCATGTAAATTGTCATATTAACTAGGCTAAGTAGCATGGTTGGCCTGTAGAGTCGGTCGCCAGAACGTCACTTAGCTCCACTGCCAAGCCACTCCGTCCCGCTGCGCAGTCTAAGCTATAGCACCATCTAAGCTATGGCATGCTTGACAGCATAGTTAGTTTGTCTTCTTGTTGCTCTTTGCTACGGTATCTGCGCTCTCAACACTTTTGTTTTTGCCACTTAATCCGCAAATAGTTTTCGAGCTCGGCTTTATTTCATTTAGCCGTGCTTACCGTACACTGAAATACAGTTAACAACAACAAAGACATACATATCTAGTAAATATATACAATTATGTATGTAAATATATGCAAAATTATGATTTACATTGTCAGAGCTTTGTAAAAATCTCCGTTTGCTTCGTCTTCTCCGCCACTAAATTGCCTTGAGTTGGTTTTGACTGAAAAAAAAGCATAACATAGAATGTGATCTTGGGCGCTGTGCTTCAGTTCGCACATTGTACTCCAAGAAATTTGTGTAAAGAAAGGCGTGGCAGTTGTCGCACGTCTGGCTAAATGGCTTGGCCTGTAGCCGGAGAATGCGCAGCGCAGACAACAACTTGTTTCTTTTGGTTTGTTGCTTTGCTGGAAACTGTGACAGCAGCTAGATTTTACAGCATTTTTTCTATTTTTTCCACTTTGTTGTTGGTTAATGGATTTTCT